TTTAATTATTTATTTATTTATCTATTCATTTATTCACCGCAAAAGTTTTCATTCAGAACACGTGCGAAGTATACTATAACGCGAAACTTTAAAAAACGAATAAACGAAAAGATGCGTAATCGAGAAATGCGATAAGTAATACAATGCATACAGTAATACAATGTTTCTATAGTAATTAAAGGAAAAATCTTTTTTTCACTAACCACCGATAAATTGAATACGGAACATTCGCTGTATAGTTTAATACAATACACACATCATGGTGGTCATACACTGTACAGCATTCTATTTGTAGAAATGCAAGTAAGCAGACGATAATCGTGAAACTTCACGAACTCTTCAATTGTTCAAGTATTTAATAATTTCTAAAATAAGCATAAAGTTGAGTCAGAAGAAACAACGTCTTGTAATACGTAACAAAATTCACGAAATTAAGAAATACCGATACTTCGCATCTCCGTTATATCTAGCTTCAACTATAATTATAACAACGAATAAGAAGATAATAAACCTCAAGTCTCGTATATACCTCATGATCAACTTCGTTCGTAGTCTACATTGTAGAGTCTACGATACAACCATATCGACGATACAATATTAAACGAAATAATAAGAAAATGCTAAATAACAATAATCAAATACGATGTACGAATAATATACAAAAGAATCGAAGATTTATCGATCGCTATTATTCGATCCAAAGTGTACGTAATCTTCACGTAATTTTCAATTGTGTAAAATCGTTTCTGATACAGTAAAAATGTATAGTAATTTTAATAGCATAGGACAACCTCGATGAAAGGTTAAAAGCACGATAAGATAACGCGTAGCAGCGAACTTTACTAAGTATTTTTCAATTTCCTCCAACTATACAATTTTATCTGCGATGAGCAAACGCTGAACGCGTGATATTTATAATCTACGCCATCGAGATTTGGCACTCACAGCCAACGAAAGTATTTCTTATCGATACGGAACAGAAACGAAGGATAAAGAAGACGTAAACAAAGAGACTCTCTGAAGAAATTCTCTTGAAATCGTCAGGAATCGTCAAAGTTCCTCCACTGAATGCAAAAGATATTGAACCATGGCTGAAAGATATACAACGAGGTTGTAAATTATTTTCTTCCTCCAGTGGAGAAAAATAACCAGCGTCTTAAATTTATCTTCCAAGTGATATATACAAGAAGAAATTTTAGAAATTCTCATAAGAAAACCAACTTGACACTGACATAACGAGGTTGATTATTGTACCTACAACGATCCTCTATTTTAACAAGAAAGCAATGAAGAATATAGTACCAGTAATAATACGTAACAATAACAAATATCGTTTCATAAATTAACTTCTTCAATGAAAACAGGAAATTGGCCAATTTTGGACCAGGCAAGCAACAAAAGTCCTTTGCAGGATATGTTTCTATGAATCTTCAGAAATTAGAGATGCATAATTATTTATCCGGAAAACGGTAGAAAGATTATAGAAAATACGAGGAAACTTGGAAATATCGTCGATATATGTAATCACCTATTCTAACAAGATGAAGACACTCGAGAAAACTTGGTAATAGTGCATACGAGTAACAAATATGGTTTGTCTGTACGTAAAGCCTTCACAAATCCGGGAATCGTCTTTTCGAAGAACCTGAAAATTGCGATATTACAATAGTATGAAACATCGATGTATAATTAGGCTGTGGTTAAGAGAGAACGTTAGAAACCTTTAAAAAGACTCTTCCTCGTCGGAAGAGAACATGAAGATCCCTCGAGAAGCCTGCATTGCGGACCTTCGCATCGCACGGGACACGTTACATCGCGATTCTTCTTTGCTCAGAGACCAGGGAAATCGTTCGACTTGGACAAGTGTACACTGGGTTCATCGTGAATTCCACGTTAATTCTCGATGTTCGCAACTTGTAACTTCGTTATGCTATCCATTGACCGAGTAACTCAATTTCGTCAACTGTAACCGGAGTTTTCTTCGTGAAAAAGAAGTCCTTAGAGTCTTTTGCGTTGATTTATGAACTGAAAATACAACAATAAGTAACTAAAAAAATATAAAGAAAAAATGGAAGAAATGAAAAGTAAGTAATAAAATTCAAAAATAAATTAAAAAGTGGGAGAAGCGAAAGATACATATCTGAATGATACCTATGATACCAACAGGTCACGTAATATTTGTAGAGAGTTAATTTGCCATTCTGATATATGAATAAAATGAAATAAAATAAGGAAATACAGTACTTAAGAAAATTAAAAGAAAAGAAATAAGACTTGAGAAATACAGATGTATGTATATGGCAATTCTGACTAGTAACGTGGTGCATATTTATAAGGGGTTGATTCGTCATCAGGACAGCAAATATTTTCAACTCGATCGTCTATTTATGCAGGAATTCTCGGAATTCTTCTTTCAAATTTCTGTTGAATATAGATGTCTCTATTAAAGATGGAATCACGTGCAAGGACTGCAAGAATGCACTAGCTTTTATTAAATCTTCAACTTGCTCCCCAAAAATAAATAGACTTCGATTGAGAAGCGACCCAGTTAAACAGGATAGTAAACCTTAAGGTAGCTTTTGTGATTGTGAATTCTTATTGTTTTCTTTCTATCATCATTGAGACTTGTTAAATCCCATAATCTCGTAAGAATTTCTCTTTGAGAAAGCTTTGAACACCGTTCAAATGTTTCGAACGAGGGAAACGGAAGCTATTATGTATACGTATAACTACGAATTTGCGACGAAAAAATAACGAGTACTGTGCATCCCCTAACCGCAATTCGCAAAGTATACGTATGCATATTATATATATATTGTGCAGTATATATTTATGAGCGATGGAAAAAGAGAACACAGCTGGAAAACGTGCTTCCTATCTCACATAATTATGTCAACGCTCGCATTAATAAAATTTCAATAATAATTATTCGGCTGCTTGATATGGAGAACACGGTCATTACCTATTTATGTCAGAAACTAACAGAATCAATTAATTTTTATAACAAATGAGACTTTACAAATCTGATCCAAAAAGTTTTGGAACAGTAAATAAATGAATAAATTATCGTTGTAAATTACAACATTTTACATTGCGTAATTTATAACCAACCTGCAGGAATTAAAAATCATAAAAATAGAAATTTTTAGCTTTAAAAATAAATTGATTTTTCTTTTTAAATTAAAGAGAATGCTGAATTGCGAAAGTTTGTAAACGAAACTTGAAAGATCCCCATAAAGATTAATCGATTCTATTTAAATGAATATTTTATACGAAAAAGATGAAGTTATAATAATAAATAAAGCGATCAATCACGATATAGAAACATACATTATTAGCTAGTAGTATTAACACATAAATGTAGAATACAAGGCTAAATTACATATTTGCCTATTCACGACAGCATATTAATTCAGTCCTATTCTGAATGCGATCAAATGCTAGATAAGAAATACAATAATATAATAACAATATCAATTTTAACTTTTTTCAACAGAATTGTGGTAAAAAATTTTCTATAAAATTTGAAAATTATTATGTAACATTACAACTATTATCTGATATATTATACTACATTATTATAATACTTTAATCTTTTTTTTTTGTTTTTATACATAGCACAAAAAATATACTTCTATATATACTGACAAAAGTTAAAAAACAAAGTAACAATCTGCAAATTTTTGTATATTGCTCATCTTCTGAAATACACAGATCAAAATTAAAAATAGGTTTGACATAAGAGATTTTTGAAAAAAAAAAATATTATTTATTGATGTGTGAAATGTATATTATAAAAAATATATAGAAATTCGCAAATGATTACTTTATTTCTTTTTTTGACAGTAAGTGTATTGTTGTATGTGTATTATTTTTATAATCTCCGTTTTCTATAAAGTATAACATCGATGTGGTATTTAATTGACCTATTTATATATAAGTATAAGTAAATTTAAAATTAAAATAAAATATCGAAAAAGATTTTACTATTATTTTGAGGTTAACACGTTGAGTCTAAAGATTTATAAATGTTTATAAATAAACACATTTATTTATATAAACCATAAGTCGATAACGTAAATTGCAATATATTAATTTATTAATTTATACTATATAATTTAGTTCTTGATATTATTGGTGGTTAAATTTCATATAGTTCATACATGGCAAATTTTCATTGCATTATTGTAACAATTTTCGATTAAATTATCTAAACTTTTAGCTATAAAATGATTAAATTTCACGTGTTATGAATGTGCTTCATCGATTACTTTATCTTACAATCATACTGAACTGATGATACAAATATAACGCGTCTAAACTTAACAAGAAGTCGTTAAATGTCATGAAGTGACTTCCACGGTAACATAACTATTTCGAGGAACGAAATTAAATATTTGTATTAGCATAACATAATTTGTATTAAATACCTGAATTTTATATTGTATGATAAAAAAACTTCATGAAACCATATTGCCACATCAATAATAAAAATAAACCAATTTTATCTTTGACAATACAATGTATTATTTACCAAAAAAATTAGCACCCAACTTTTTACAACAAAAATTGTTTTTAAAATACCACTATACAATATAATTAAATTTTTATTTTATTTTGAATAAAGTTAAAAATAGAAATGTTCTATTATGAAGAAAAAAATTTTAATTTTCTCTATTCAAAAAGTGAAATGACTTCAAACTTTTGTAACACGTGTATTATAGCAAAAATTGCAACATGTTAACCTGTTATATTTAATAGTTGTAATTAATCACAAACAATCACAATACAATAATTATAAACAAAATAAGCCTCAGCTGATCAGCTGATCGTGTTACCATAACCGCAATGGCTGCTATTGATCTCGTGAGCAAGCTTTTTCGCACGTGCGTGCTGCGTTAAAACCCCTTCTACCCATTTCTACGCACGCGATTAAATCTCGTCTAAACGTCTACTGTTCGGTGGCTGTTAACGAATAAAATATTTTGTATAGTACTCACCAAAAGTCGATCTACCAAACTGGAGCGAATGCTAAAAAACTGCGACGCACTCCATAGTACGCGCGGGAAACAATAACTTACAATTAATTGACAAAAGAATGTAATAGCACACGAAAGATATAAGCACAACTGAAAAAGAGTATTGATATATAGGCGTGTGAAACGAATAACACGATTACCAACACAGGATGAATACGCTAGTTTGACACTGAAATGTAAAATACGAAATTTCGAGAAGCGGTCAAAGAAAGGAATAACGCGACAGGGAGAGTAATACGTGTTTTAACCGTGTCTCAAGTCCAGGGTGAATTGTGATTAGTTGCGCATGTGTATCGACGCAACCCTTCTTTCGCAACTTTCATTGGTTGCTTTAAGAGACAGGGCCGACACAACTCAGGGTGCAAAGTAGCGAGAAATGAAGAAATACAAAATTCAATTACGAACAGCATATTTCTTTTTTTTTATTTTTCATGCCTAATTTTCTCATTTTAAATAATATGAAATATTTTACTTATATTTATTTTCCTCATCATACCAAAAACTCAATTACAAGTAGTAATTGCAGATTGTGTAATGATAATTGTATAGTTCATAGTAACGTCCAAAATATAATACAATTATTTTTATTATATTTAATGAAATTAATCGTGTTTACCTTAATTGTTCCTACTTATACAACGTACCAATGTATAATATATAATATAATTTTAAGACTTGTAAGACTATGTTCGATGTTAGTATGCATTTATAAGTCAACTGTTTATACGAATTATTAAAGCAATTTATATTTTATAGGATTTACATACGTAAATATACTTATGAAAGTATTAGGCACTATACCATGATAAGTTACATGACATTTATCATATTACTATTTTTATTTAAATATAAACATAATTTAAATTTATCATAAATAAATAAAAATTTGATACCTTTTTCAAAACCATTTTCTTAGATTTTAATAATGATAATAATAATAATAATAAAAACATTTTATTATTATATCATAATATGTATGTATGTCTACTTTTGTATATATAGATATATATATAAATCTCAAATTCTTATCATTTCAAATTTTATTAACTTTAAATACTAATTGAACAACAAACTAACCGTTATTTTTAATAAATTTATACAATATTTTACAATTTATAAAAGTTAGTAATGTAATTATTATCTTTTTCATTCATAAATTTACGATACAAAGCTATTATCTTGCTGATAAGAAGTATTTATACTAGCGGCATCTATCATATTACTGCTGTATTATAGTAAATAAATGTGCTGAATCTATCGACATGATATAAAAACAATGTGAAAAATTATTGATTTTATTTAATTAAAAGGTGTAATTAAAATGTCAGACGAATCAGAATACGATGTAGAACCAGAAGAATTTGATATTTATAAACGAAAATACCAATTATTACTAGATAGATGTGAAGTTTTACAACAGGTTCTTGTTTGATTTTAATATTCTGTACTACATACAGTGATTTAACTGTAGAAAATGAAATTATTAATTATTTAATTATAGGAAAATGAAAGATTGGTTTATCGTATTCAACGAGTTAGGAAACTTCTTAAACGTACAAGAAAGGAAAAAAAGTTAGTTCATTTTATAGGTTATGTATTGATTACTATTACAATATTATCTATTATCTACTTTAGAAATAATAACAAATAATGTAACTGCTTAATATTTCATTATATACCATTTGCATGTTCTGATGAAATATCTTTTGTATTTTAGATTTTTAATTGACCGCTTAGATCAACATGGTGATCGTTGGCGAGAAGCACCTATGGGAGTTCTTGAAGAAAATAATGTATTTCAAGTAACACCTAAGTCAGAAAAAGGTCAAAAAGCTACTGCCCACAATTCTAAAGATGAGAAAACTAAAAAGGGAACAAAGCGAAAAGGTGCAAAAACAGATCCTAATGCTCCAAAAAGACCAGCAAACCCATTCTTTCAGTTTTGTCAAGAGCAAAGACCTCGTGTTATGGAACGCTTAGCAGGAGAACCAGAACCAAGTAAGCAAGAACTTACTAGACAACTTGCAACTACTTGGAAGTCTCTTAGTTCAGAAGACAAAAAGGTTTGTACTAACAAAAGAATCATCTACATTTTTCTAGTATTTGAATTAGGATATTTATCATATATATTTTTTCAGGTGTATTATGACATGTATGAACGATCCAAAGAAAAATATGTTGCTGAAATGCAAATTTATAATAAGAAATCGGAAGACACGCCAAACCATATGTCTTTAAATATAACGTAGTATTTGTATTTAAGATAAATGATTTTTGTAAATACGTAATTTATAATCATATATTTGCACATATGTCAATATTTATGTATAGAAAATCGAAGTAAAATTTTATAAATAAATGAATAAAAATTTGTTTAGGAAGAACATTTTGTGTTGATTAAAAAGTGTATGCTCTGATTTTTTTGTAACAGAAATAAATTTATACTTTGAAGTTATCTTTCTCCCTTCTAAGAAATGCCATAGTTTGAATTGGATCTTTTTGTTCAGTATGATCCATAACAGATTGTTCATGAACTCGCATAAACGGATTTGTCAATTTTTCTTCCTGAATAGTGCTGGGCACAGTAGGATTATTCTTTTCACGTTGTATACGAACCCATTCTATCTTTTGACGAATTGCTTCATTTTCTGGTTCCACATATTTTCCAAATTTCAAATTATTTGCTGTGTATTCATGACCACAATATACTTTCTACAAAATATTCAAAATATAGTCTTTCCATTTTTAGAAATTGTTTTAAATCGAAATTTAAGCATAATCATATGCTTACAGTTTGATTAGGTAGCAATCCCAAAATCTCTATAAGTGCTTTGTACATTTGCTCTGCAGTACCTTCAAAGAATTTACCACAACCACCAGCAAAAAGTGTATCACCTGTATATTAATATGTATTATATTTTAATGAACTTAAATAAGTAGGAAATACATAACTTTTATTTTTACCTGTAAAAACTGCTGGAGGATCTTGATCTCCTGTAATATAATAACAGATATGTCCACTAGTATGACATGGTGTTGCAAGGCATCGAACTTGTAAACTTCCAATGTTAAAAGTATCATCATGTTTTACTTTGCATGTAAGTGCCTCTATTCTATCATCTCCACCATATACTTGAAGATTATTAAATTTTTTAAACAACTTTGCATTTCCTCCTGAATGATCCCAATGATGATGAGTAGTTAAAACTTTTGTTAAGCAAACATTATTTTGTTGAACAGCAGATGCAACAGTGTCAGGATCAACAGGATCAACAACTGCAGCTTCCTGTGATGCTTCATCAATAATCTTTCAAAATTACAAAATTTTATCATAGACATTATTAGTACACAATAATAATAATTTATAAATTAATAAATACTTAATACATCAATATCAATTACTAATAATCACAAAAAGTAAAAGTAAACAAATACATACTAGATACATATAATTATCTTGAAGTGCAGGTAATACTTGAACCTTCATGTTGCGTTGTTCTATTATTTTAGGAAGACAATGTGTTGCATAAAAACCATTCGTTGAAATACTTTTTGCTAGAAAAATTACAATCTTAATTGATATTTAAAGTGATAAAAATATTATAGCAAACATATAGTTGAATTAAATATATATCTATATTAAAAAGTAACTTGTAAGATAAAACATATGTTCACTACATTGGAACCTATACTTTTCTTATCATAAAAAACTTAAAATTAATCATCAATGTCCTTATCTTTAATATGTCTACAATATCAGTGAGGTCAAACAAAAATCTATAATTTCTATATTTAAACTCATAAATTAATTTTTAATTATATGCAACATAATGTTTTGAGTTAAATAATAAACAGATATTTGTTTGAATGTATATTTACATAAAAGGAAATACTACAGAATAAACAATTTTGATATTTAAACATTACATGTTCATGACAATAATTTATCATTAGTTGCTTTCATTATAATGTTATGTAAATTTCTTTCATAACTGCATATTCTTTATAACCATATTTTATACACAAAATATTGTAATATGAAAAGAAATATTTAATTTTATGTTAAAACATAAATTTTGGAAAATATCATTCCTTTAAAAAATTTTAATAAAAATCGCAAAGAATCCTAAAATATAAAGTAAATGTAAAATAAATGAAGTAGAAATGTCTCTAAAAAAAATATGATAAGGAAAACGAATACCCTTATAATACAAAGATGCCAATGTCCTTTCGAGCCAAGTAGGACAAACATGATACATTACATTCAGCATGACTTTTAATATTTAATATTAAAACTAAACTCGACTTTGTATGATGGTTTATTTAGAAATAAATACCGCAATCTTGTACGATGTTACTTGCCTGATTACTACGTAGTACTATCGCAAAACAACTGGGCTCAGCTGATCGGTACGATGTAATACTGGCGAAAAGTAATAGGTTATATACAACGCTGTATGCATCATTGTTGACACATGAATGTACATTTTATCTATAGCATAATTTAACTAACCGGCATTTGTATTTATCCAGGAATAAAATATAGAAGAACCTTCTTTATTATTACTATATGTAAATATCTTTTAATATTTTATTTACAATGTCTGCAAGCAGCTCGAAAGAAATTATAACGATTAATAATGAAAATCAAGGTTTGTTGCTACTTTTATGATATAAAAAGTAATATTTTTGTAGAAATAAGCAGGTTTTAAACGTTACGTGGATTTCATGATTATAATTATTATTTATATTACTATATTTATACATAATTCTTTGTTATGTTTAAATTCTATGTTTATTTGTTATTATTATATTATTTTTTTCTTAGACATTGAAGAAGATGAAATTGCAGCTATTGATTATGAGTTGAAACAAATTGAAAGTGAAATGCAAAAACTTGAAGATCGTAAAAAAATCTTAACTCAGCGTAAGGAAAAATTACAAGATGATGCACTTTTAAAGAAAAGTTTATCCGTATCAAAGAAGAATTGGAACAAAGAAGATTTTAGCTGGTCCAAAGATTTGAAAAAAGCTTTAAAGGATATTTTTAACATAGAAAAGCTAAGAGAATTACAATTGCCAACTATAAATGCCTTTATGTCCAATGAAGATGTTATTTTAATTATGCCCACAGGTGGTGGCAAAAGTTTATGTTATCAATTACCTGCAGTTATTAGTAAAGGTATTACAATAGTAGTATCACCATTGCTATCATTAATGGAAGATCAGTTATATGGATTACACAAACATAATGTAAAAGCTAGGATGTTAAGTGCAAAAGGTGATAAAGAAAATGTAAAAATTGTAATGAATTCACTTGTAGATAAAAAGTCTGATCTTAAATTAATTTATGTTACACCAGAATATATGGCAAAATCCAATCGTTTTATGAGCAAATTACAGAAAGCTTTTGAAATGAAACGTTTGGATCGTTTTGCAATAGACGAAGTACATTGTTGTAGTCAATGGGGACATGATTTTAGACCTGATTATAAATTTTTAGGAATTTTAAAATCCATGTTTCCAGGTATACCAATTTTAGGTCTAACAGCAACTGCTCCAGCTAAAATTATTGTAGATGTTCAAAAAATGTTAGATATTCAAGGTTGTTTAGTTTTGAGAGCTACTTTTAACAGACCAAATCTATTTTACGAAGTTCGACGAAAACCAGCAGATAAAGATACATGCTTGGCTATGATAGAAAATTTATTAAAAAATAGATTTGAAGATAAGTCTGGAATAATTTATACAACTACCATAAAAGATGCAGAACAACTGACAACTGATTTAAGATCATTAGGCTTAAAAGTTGGATGTTATCATGCAATGTTAGATGCAGGTTATAGATCAGAAGTATATGCCAAGTGGATATCAGGAAAATACCAAGCTGTAGTTGCTACTATTGCTTTTGGATTAGGTATAGACAAGCCAGATGTGAGGTTTGTCATTCATCACTGTATTTCAAAATCAATGGAAAACTTTTATCAAGAAAGTGGCCGTGCAGGTAGAGATGGAAAGAAATCAGTGTGTATAGTATTATATAGACTGCTAGATGCATTTAAATTAAGCACAATGGTGTTTCAAGATAAAGTTGGTTTACAAAATTTATACAAAATGTTAGAGTATTGCTTAGATCAAACATCATGTAGACGTAGTTTAATTGCATCCCACTTTGAGGAAACTTGGACTAGAAGTGATTGTGCAAAAATGTGTGATCATTGCCGGAAACCTAAAGAGAATAAACAAGTGAATATAGTATCTCATTGTAGACAGTTATATCAAATTATGACCAAAGCAGTACAAAATGAAACTAGATTAACTGCCTTAAAGCTCATAGATGCTTGGTATGGTAAAGGTGCATCGACATTACGGGTATCTTCTATGCTAATACCAAAATTCACAAGAGAATCAGGAGAAGCTATAATAGGACATCTACTTGTAAATGGTTATTTACAAGAAGATTTTCATTTCTCTGCATATTCTACAATATCATATTTAAGACGTGGACCTAAAGCAGGATTAGCACTTACCGATACTCATGAAATAATTTTTAATTATGAATTACACTAATATATATAAGTACATTATGGTCTGTGATAGTAGTATTTTCTTCATTATTGAAGAAACATATAACATTGAGTAAACAGTATGTCATCTTAAATTTCTGAATGTTTCCTAATCATCAACCATATATTTTATTTAGCTTTTAAAATGGTTGTCATTGATGAATTTGTATTCAGCAATAATATGTAGTTTTGGGACTTATTATTAATAATATTTTGATATTTTATTTTAAAAATCATTGTAAAATTATCATTAAAATTTAAAATTGTGTAATATATATAAATTTTTAATACTCAGTACTAAGTTCTTAGAAAGTTCATCCAGGAGAAGAATGTTTCTAGAAAATAATAAATACACTTTGGTATAAATATACTATTTTCATTTTTAAATGCTGTCGTGAATAATATAAAAAATTTTTTTATGCAATTATTTAACACAATTTTAATTGTACTTCAAATAATTTCTAATGAGTCTTGAAGCAGAGATTGTTTATAAAAATATATGTTGATCAGAGTTGCAAGTAAAAAAACAAACTTTTTTTATGAAATCGAAAGCAAATAATTCAAACTTAACACGAGGTAAAAAAATCAATAAAAACTATATGTACAACGCTAGACAACGGTATGTCGGCGGTTCCGATAGTAAGCCAACCACCAGGTTCACGATCAGATGGAAATATTGATCCTGGATAAGAGGCATCTGTGTTCTGTCTGTTGGCAAACACGTTTTACTACAGTATTAAGCAGTAGGTTGACATTAGATTTGTAATTCATTCATTGTTAGGAATTTAACAACGAAGTAATTGTGAACACCATGTAATAACTATCTATTACGAGTGATCATAAGAAACATTGTGCGTTTGTCAAAATACTTGGGTTTTCATTCAATGTTCGATCGTACCTACAACGAATAGTGACGTGCCAATGATACATCTTTCATTCATGAATCCACTCAAGTGAAAGTTAACTCGACAAATTTTTTTAGACAATTTAAAATGTGATGGAGTCCTGACGATTTCTAATCTTTGACAAAGATTTGACACCGTATTACGGAGGTACGGACCTTCGTAATACGGAGGTAATAAAAAAACAGGTAAAGACGAGATATTTAAAAGATTGAAATGCATGCTCCTCCATATGTGTACACGCTTTATCAGTCCTGTATACATGTACATCAAAACTAATTGGTGTGATACCATGTATGTATGCCTAAATAAGCAAACAATTGCGGAAAATAATACAAAAAGAGAAATCAGTTCATTATAACATTTTAATGCAGGTCTGTTCGCGCGCTTCTGCGCGACAAAGTTTGACCTCTGCAGTTCTAATGCTCTGTAGAAATATTCTATAGGTATTCTTCAAGAATTATCAAAAACAAAGAGAATTAATAAAATAAAAAAAAAGATAGTGTAACTAAGACTTTTAACTTCCGCAGAATATTGTGTTAACCAGTGAAAAGAGTAAAATTGTACCAGTTCGGATTCAGTACTTTGTAGCTGTATATTTATCTACTAATTATATCAACGATCGTCATTCGGGTTTCATTATAACCCCGCGACGATTGAAAATTAAAAATTGTGTAAAAAAACTTGATCGCACAAGTACAAAAATTTCGTACTACGCCTTAATAAAATTAACTAGATGACTTGTATGCACCAATCTGCCTTCAGCGAAGATGCCTCTGCCAAATATTCTCAAAAAGGCAAGCAGTTACATTTTAGGCGACTGCAATCAAGACAATCGTCGTACTATGTATCAGGATGGCGAGGCATTATTTTGCAAGAATAACGTCTGCGTTCATCCTCCTACTCTAATGAGACAAAACTCTGATGTGGTACATCATCCTGGATACATGGCCATAACCTGTAGGTTTAATAAACATTCAAATATACCAACTTTACATCTCAGTTGGATTCCGAATAGTACGCTTCGTAAACATCCAACAACGTTAGAAAATTTAAGTTCAAAAAAACTTGATTGTGCCACTCATCAAGAAATCGATATAAATTCTCATCATTCTCAAATATCAGAAGAAAGTTGTGATTTAAAATGTGAATATGAAAATACTGGTGAAAAAGTTGATGTTTGCTTAGAAGTAAAGGAACCTGTCAATTGTGGAGATTGTGAACGCATTTGTTCTGGTGGTTTTTCACGAGGTGCACGTTTCCAAAATGACGACACGGGTACGAAAAATGATAATGGGGATAGATTATGTGATCATCAAACTGTACTTACATCAGAAACTAAAGAAATTCCAAATGTCAATCGGAAAACAAACTATCACCGGTCTGACAATTCATCAATTACCATACACGAAGAAAGTGATCACAGTATTAGTTTAAATCAATTGCGCTCCGAATCTCTGAGCTCGAGATATGACGAAAATCAACAGTGCAAAGATCAAAAAATTTCCGAAACACATGAAAGCGATGGAATAAGTATCGATGAAGAATTAAAATATCCTTATTGTGATGACATCAGCCTCAAAAGCCGTAGTATGTCATTAACCTCTACATGCAGTTTATCTGTTGGCGTAACTTCTGAGGGTATTTAATTGATTACTTTAATAGTTTTTTATTAGTTTCTAGATGTTATTAACGTTTAAAATTTATCTCTTTGCAGCTGAAGAGATTCCATCATGGATGAGATCACCTGAACTTTTGGCCTTACAACATAACCTCACATTTCCTGAAAGTGCAACAGCTTCACCAGTAACATTACGTAGAGCACACAGATGTAGAAGGTTTTCAGTGGATCTCAGTGAAATGAGATCCTTAAGATTGTTTTTTGCTGATCCAGCTTGTACTTCTGGTCAATTAGTGGTTGCAAGTAGAGAAAGTCAATATAAGATTCTACATTTTCATCATGGTGGTTTAGATCGATTAGCAGCAACTCTACATCAGTGGCATCAATTGCTTTATCCACGATTAGATACAGATGCTGAGGAAACACTTCCATATAGGTAATATGTAATATGTACAAGAAAATTGGCATTTTATTAAATACTTAATTATTTTTTATGACTCAGGCATTTTATGGTATGTCGACCAGAGGTAAGTCGTGATGAATTACATCCGGAAGAAGGGCAAGTACCAATGATTACATCATTGGCATGGAAGGATTTATTAAATGAACGAGGTCAGGTAGAAGATGATTTAGCACTTCGTAAAGGAATATTTTTTGGTGGACTAGAACCAGCATTAAGGAAAATAGTGTGGCCCTTCCTTCTTCATTGTTATTCATATCAAAGTACTTATGAAGATAGGGAGCAAATTGATGCCATTCGTAGACAGGAGTATGAAGAGATACAAAAACGTAGAATGAGTATGGGTCCAGAACAAGCAGAACATTTTTGGCGAAATGTGGTGTGTATTGTAGAAAAAGATGTTGTTCGTACTGATAGAGGAAATCCTTATTATGCTGGAGAAGATAATCCAAATATTGAAATTATGAAGTACGTCTATATAAGAATATTTTTATTTTTATGGTTACAATATACTTATATTCTGTTATATTAATTTTTTAATTTGTATTGTTGTTATTAATACTATTTTATCTTTTTACAGAAATATTCTATTAAATTATGCAGTTTATAATTCTCGATTAGGATATACGCAAGGTATGTCTGACTTATTGGCTCCTTTATTGGCTGAACTTAATTCTGAATTTGAGGCATTTTGGTGCTTTGCTGGTTTAATGCAAAGATCTGTAGCAGTATGTACACCTACTGATGTAGATATGGACAGAAATTTGTGTTATTTAAGAGAATTAGTTAGAATAATGGTACCAGACTTTTATGCACATCTTCAAAAACATACAGATGCCTTGGAACTTCTATTTTGTCATAGATGGATACTCTTGTAAATATAAATTTCATTTAGATATTCTTAAAATTTAATTATACATAAAACTATTTTTAATAACATATATTTTACAGATGCTTAAAACGTGAATTTCCTACTGAAGTAGCATTAATAATGTGGGAAGCTTGTTGGGTAAATTATTTAACAGATCATTTTCACCTATTTCTTTGTCTTGCCATAATGTGTGTCTATGCAGATGATGTAATAGCACAAGATCTTAGAACAGATGAGATGCTATTGCATTTCAGTTCTTTAGCTATGTATATGGACGGAAATCTTATATTGAGAAAGGCAAGAGGCCTACTTCATCATTTTCGACAACTTGTTCGTTTACCATGTACATTAGCAGGACTTTGTCGACAATGTGGTCCAGGAATGTGGGATAGCACTCATGACCCCGTTATAGAATGTGTGGATCATAATGATGCACCCTGTCCATATTTAAACAATTATGAATAACGACCTAATTCAATGAAAGTGAGAAAGATATCCTATTGTTAAAGCTTTCAAATTATTCTTACGTTAACTAATCAAATTGAATGCTACTCTGATGTAACATGATAAATAATTTATATAATTCACAGTTGATTAAATGTTGTAAGTAATAACAGATGTTAATGAAGGTACGAAGAAAAGTTTGTATGAAAAAAATCTTAATCAATTTAATATTATCAAGAAAAAATATACATTTATATTACCACAAATCTTATTTATATAAAATCATAACTTATAAATGCTGATCCAAAAATATGTGGCAAATTAAGTTTGATAATAAATAAGAAACGAAAAACATATCTTAAAATTCATTGAAGTTGATTCTAATTTAAAATAACTTTAAAAGATTTTAATAATGATGCATCTAGAATTTCTGTAAAACAAAAAATATTCTATATTAAATACATAATTAGGTAGGATTTCAATGATTATGACGAGTTTTAACCGAAAACCTGTAGTACAATTAAAGACTGATGACCAAAGAATAATGGAGTAGTACAAGCAGTTTAGCTTTAAAATCTCCAAGCAAAAAACAGCTTTTTCATTGCAAAAATATCATGCTATTTATTTATTGTAATTGAAAACGTGCTATTTTTCAGCTTGGTACAAATTTCATGAGTTGTGATCTAAAATTAAAAATGTAATCGAATATCAGCAAAAAAAAATCAAATGTAATTTGGTGTAAGTATCACATATATATTTATTGTAAGTCTGTTAAAATTTCTTGGTCAATTAATAATGCACGTGTTCACTTTGGGATATTTATTTATGTGATATTTTATAACATTTTTTCTTCAAAGTATGTTTCAATTTATTGTACATTTGTTGGATATATTGTATTACTTTTTATTATAAAGTATCTTGGGTTTTACACATCAAATGTCACACATAATATTTTATAGTAATCTTATGATACTGATTTATATAAATGATATAAATATCTTTTGCTCAACAATTTTTTTTTTTATTCTGATAACCCAAAGTGTCTTTATGCTAGTCTATTTGCTCAGAAATATATTAAATTAAAGTATTAATTCTTTCTATATTTCAAATTCTTTAATCTTTTTTATATAAAATAGATGCTCTATTGTAATGAATGTACACAAAGACATTATTTGCATGTTATCTTACAGCTTAAGGAAACAAACTTAAATGATTCATGATTGATAAAGTTATAAAGATTTCATGCAAATAATATAATGCTTTTACTGTGCCACCTTATGTTGTTAGACTATTGCAGAGAAATCTATTCGTGTTAAAATTTGTTCTGCTGAATTTAACTAACTATAATATACGAGTATGAATAAATAGAAAAATTTTGTACAGGTACACGGTATGAGAGGCATATTGTGAATACTTTGTTGGCAGTTTTAAACCACATATAAAAATATGTTCTGTGATATACAAATCAAATTTATATAATCAATAGTCATTTAGCTTAATTCTTTTTGTGCACATAAAAAATAAAGCATGCTAGAAGATTGTTAAAGTAAGTCTTTTTTCTTTTTTTAGTAAGAAATATTGAATAGGCCTTCAATATTTTTCAATATATATTCGTTAGTTATACAAATTTATAGTTTTAGATGTACCTTCATACCGTCTAACTAATGGACAGAATATTATTATTTGGCCACCAAAGATCACTTATTTGAAAGACATTTAAGTATAATAAAAGCTGTATTATGTGTGATATATTCACTACTGAATAAAAATATACAAAAGTTTACAACTTAAATTAAGCTTATTCATTTGGCTTATACAAGATTAATCCAGACTTGTGCCAGTGTATCTCCTATGTGATGAAAAGAATGATTTTTTGATAATGGTGCTAAAACATGAAAAATAAAATTAAGATAACTGATTATTAATGATAATTATTCAACTATGCTACCTTCTATGATTATTTTATCTCATATTTTAAACAATGAACATTTACTAATGTTTAGAGAGATCTTTTACTCGTTGATAATTTATTATTAGAAATACTGTTAAAAATTTCATGCTTTCTAATCAGAATTTTAACTTAAAACTTTAATATCAGTATTATCACAATCTTTATTCTATATATTACTGTAAATAATTCGATTTCAGATCCAATGATATTATTTTAGATATGCATTAGATTCTTCAAATCTCAAAAATAAAATAATTTAATTATGCACCATTTTGTAACCTTTCCTTTTTCTTATGTTCTTAATTTAGTACCTTGTGTTTTATACTAAAGGTACACTTACAGAATGGAAATGAATTTGTATGAAGTTGACTGATACTAAAATCATACAAGCAATGGACCAAACTATAACAAAAATGAGCCAACAATTACTAGAAAACGGGCTAGCAAATTTATTGACCACACCGAGACCTATAATTCTGTTTGTTTCTTGCCTGGCATAATACACCAAGAACGTTGGAATTAAATATTGAATTCCTGCTCCTGCATACGATCCCGTAATTCCCACTAATATCGATAAATCTTTGGTACTTAAAGCAATCATATATGGAGGCAGTATTACCAGTATTGGGAAGACAAGTTTACGAAGACACAAATAAGGTCCATCTTCGCAGAGGAACAATGATTGTAGATTATTTCTAAGGGTAATAGCTATAATAGGAAAGCTCGTACTTAAAGTAAACACTGGAAAAAGAGCCAAAAAATATTCTATAAGAATGATAAGAATATTGTTACTTTTAGAACAATCTCCTGATCCATGGGGGCTAAAATCTAAAGTATAAAGGTCATCTAAATGTTCGAAAGCGAATGCTCCAGTTAGTGCCAATAAGAGATAAAAGAATGCTATTAATAAATAATCCAATGCCAATGATCGAATCAAAGTAGACTTATTTGCGATTGGAGCAACCAACGCAGGTAGAGAATGGTGACACATAAAAGAGTAAATACAAGCACCAAATAAACTAGGTATACCTGAAATACACATATACATATATGATTATTTTATTAAATACTAAAAGAGGTGCCTGACAATATTTCTTTTTTTTTACTAATTTTATAGATGAACTTACCCATAATATTTGCGACTGGTGGATTTCCTTGTGCACCATGAATGATTAAATTTTTTACAGCATACACAATCATGATAGTAAATGCAAGCCATCGCATTGCTGATGTTAGAAGTTGAAGATATTTTGTCTTTTGAACATTAAAGAACACAAAAGAACCTGCTAAGAGCAGGAAT